ACCATGTTAATTGATTCTTCTATTCCTGGTCACTTTTGGGTTGATGCTCTTTATACTGCCACTTTTATTATTAATCGATTACCTACACCTGTTTTGGATGGTCTATCTCCATATGAAAAGATCTTCAATAAAATTCCTGATTACAATTTCATGCGTGTTTTTGGTTGTTCGTGTTTTCCTAATTTTATTGCTGCCTCAAACAATAAGCTATCACCACGCTCTATACATTGTGTTTTTATTGGGTATGCTCCGGGCTATAAGGGCTATCGTTGTCTATCCCCGTCTACTGGTCGAGTTTATGTAAGCAGGGATGTTACTTTTCACGAGCACATTTTTCCCTATCCAAAATTACTTCCACCAAACGGACCATCTTCCTCCAATGTCCCTACTTCTTGGTTGTCAACGTCTACCAGACCAACCCCACTACCCCTCCACAACTTTGTCACATCCCAGCTGCCCTCCAGAATTGTTGAGCCCACTGTCGAGACCCAGAACTCACCATCCGCCTCACCACCACATATTTCCTCTCCAGCTATACCTGTCTCCCACCTTACAACACCTGTCTCCTCAAACACCACTCCAAGCAGTACACCCATTGTCAACTCGTCCTCTTCCTCCACTGCCCATATCCGTTCACTGTCGAGGGATACACCGTCCCCATCCTTGGCAGATCACCCACTACCACTGCTTGGTTCTACTAATGTTCATCCCATGCGGACTCGTGCCAAAAATGGTATTTTTAAACCGAAAACCATTTTTAATTTAAGTGTTTTTTCTCCCCCGGATGATCCTACTTGTTTTTCTCAGGCTAATAAGAGTCATATTTGGCGGGCAGCCATGGCTGATGAATTTAATGCTTTAATTGCTAATAGAACATGGGATTTAGTACCTTGTGATCCTACTAAAAATGTGGTTGGTTGTAGGTGGATTTATAAGACAAAATATCTATCTGATGGGTCTATTGAGCGTCATAAAGCCCGGTTAGTTGCTCAGGGTTTTAAACAACAGGCTGGCGTTGATTTTACTGAAACCTTTAGTCCTGTTGTTAAACCTACTACTGTTCGTCTCATTCTCTCTGTTGCTGTCTCTTTGGGGTGGTCTGTTCGTCAACTTGACGTTAAAAATGCTTTCTTACATGGTTTTCTGACTGAAGAAGTGTACATGTATCAACCCCAAGGGTTCATTCATCCTTCTTTTCCTAATCATGTGTGTCGCCTGCGCAAGGCTCTGTATGGTCTAAAACAAGCTCCACGAGCTTGGTTTCATCGCTTCAGTGGTTTTTTATTAAGTCATGGTTTCTCTCAAAGTAAGTCTGATTCTTCCATGTTTGTGTATCGTACTCAGTCTCAGACAGTATATATTCTCTTATATGTGGATGATATTTTAATTACAGGATCCTCTTTATCTTTTGTTCAGTCTGTTATTCATATGTTGTCTCGCCAGTTTGCAATGAAAGATCTCGGAGATATCCATTATTTTTTGGGGATTCAGGCAACCCGTACATCCACTGGTCTATTTATATCTCAAGCTAAATATATTTCTGATCTGCTACATCGTTTTCATCTTCACACTGTCAAACCGGTTCGCACCCCACTCCCATCTCGTACCTCTCTGTCCCTCACAGATGGTGAACTTTTATCTGATTCTACTGAGTACCGCATTATGGTAGGAGCTCTTCAGTATTTAATTTTAACTAGACCTGACATTACTTATGCTGTTCATCTGGTATCTCAGTTTATGCATGCTCCACGAACCTCACATTTATTAGCTGTTAAGAGAATTTACAGGTACTTACAAGGAACAGCAGCTCACGGCCTTTGGCTTCGGTCTGATAAAAATATTTCTGTTCTTATAGCTTATTCGGATGCCGATTGGGCAGGTTGTCCGGACAGTTCTCGTTCCACTACAGGTTATGCGGTTTTTCTTGGTTCCAATTTAATTTCATGGCGATCCAAGAAGCAACCAACTGTCTCCAAATCCTCCACTGAAGCAGAGTATAGGGCCATAGCTTATACTGTTCAAGATACACTCTTTGTTCGTTCTCTTCTGGCTGACATGGGTATTTATATCTCGGCCCCAGTCAAACTTTATTGTGACAATGTTTCGGCCTCGTATTTGGCGGTGAATCCAATTCAACATGATCGCAGCAAGCACATCAAGATTGATTATCATTTTGTACGGGAAAGAGTAGCTCATGGGGACCTTATTGTGAAGTACATTCCCACACAACTCCAGTTAGCTGATATATTTACTAAAAATTTATCTAGTCAGCGTTTTGAGTTTTTACGTTCCAATCTGCGCGTTGTTTCCCCTGCACAGATTGAGGGGGTGTAATAATGTATTCTCTCTGGACTTGTGTGTAATTTCCCTAATTACGTTTATTATAAATATATGGTCAAGGCACCCAATAGGGCAAGCCATTACTCTCCAAAATTAGTATTTTGTATACTTTATTAAAGTGCGATTGCAGCACTTATCTGTTGAACGTGGTTGCAAAGCTGCACTTAATAACATACCGCCTATCCCGCTCTCTTCAAAACTTTTCGTAATAAATAGGTAAGGTGTTTCCTGGCCCCTACGGCCCTACTCCGAGAAACTTTCGAGTTTCTTAGTCTAATGCTGGGTAAAAAAAACATACCGCCTTCACATTTTTCTTGGAGAAGTTTTTACATTGATCCAAAATATACAGATATATAAATAAGTTTTGAGGCTCGGTGGAGGGAGCCTATGTTTGTTGGGTTGTTGACACTTGCCAGATTTTACTTTTCTGATTAATTGCAGATTTTATTTGATTGTTGGATGTTGGGATATATATTGCGCGCATTTTAATCATGAAAATTGGAAATGCTTTTACTGAACCAACCAACTTTAAATTTTCATGAACGTTGTCTATGTTTGTTTGTACATTGCCATCATTATTTCTTTTTTATTTCAGGCTGTAACATAGCAATGGCAGAGGAGTTGAGGAGGCAACCCCTTGTATCTCTTTGGGGATGGCAGGATCATGTTTCTGAGAAGCTTTATGACATTGGGGATCATGTAAGCGAGTAGACATTTACAAGGATGGGGAACTAGTTTCCGTAGATGCTGATGCTAGTTGGAATTAAATGTTTGATATTGGGTATCATACCTATACAGACACTCTCGTTTCAGCAGACATTGGTTAGAGCTCTATCATTGTAATTGAATCAATGTGTCACATTTTACCATGTGGTTAGATTTTGCTAAATCTTGTTTATGCTTCATTCAGGCTTGGAGAGTTGATCAAGATTATCATATTGGCAGTTCAGCAATGGAGGGTCAGCGTCACAAACACTTGCCGGCTTCGGTATTACTACATCTGTCCCACTAACATTGGAACATGATGAGGTGGTGCGGCTATTAATAAAAGTAGGTTTGTGTGAGACAATCTTTGTAGGATGGACCAAACAGAAAAGATGAGACGATCTTAGCGGGACGGAGGGAGTAATGGTTATCTGTTTCTTTCTAATACTGTGATGATGGTTATTGCTATGTACTTTTGTCTACTGTTCATTATTGGTCGTCACTCATTTCTTTTTGCTCTTGTTATATTTGTACCTAATTAAGTTGCACATGAATAAAATGCAAAATCAGCCGCAGACTCTCATTGCTCCTGTTTTTATTAGTAAAAAAAACTCATGGTTGAGACTTGCATAGTTGAGGGCATCTATGAAACCTGGTTAAGAAAATGTAGGTTTATTGTGTTGCTGCCTAATTTTTTATTTTTATTTATTTGGGTGATCATAGAAGAGGGATTTCCTGGCAATCATATTCATCTTTCCTTGACTGTTGATTCAGCATGTGTAGCCATTGAGTTAAGTGTATGATTTCTAAATTCTTGGAGGTCACCATGTTTGTGATAGTGATAAGGGTCATCGTGTTTCTGATTGTGATTTTTTTAATCCCTATAAATGAAGTTGATAGCAAAACTGTGTGATTAGAGATAATTCAAAGTGGAAAGAAAAAAACATGCATGATAAAAACTTTTGTTTTTTTACTTGGCAATTTATGTTTTCATACTTCCTATGAAAATCATCCGGAACTTGGATTCTGGTCATATCTTTTCAGCACCTATAACAACTCCTCTTCCCATATCCAGGTTAATGAAAATGATGGAAGATGACGATATATGATTCCACAAAATTGGAAAATGATTGACAGGGGTGAATGTTAGAAGAAAATAGAAAATATGACACATTGGAGGGGAGAAGCAAGGCTAAAGGGTTAATTTGAACTTTTTCCATATCCTGCCTCTCGATGTTTTTACCCCAGATGAGAGTAGAAAAGGAAAAAGAGATTTAATTAAAACCCAATCACCATGCCAAAAAAGTGTAATTTGATCATAAGCAAGCAGATGAAAGTATGATATATACCTTGGATTTTTATAATTTTTTCATACTTTTCAGTAGGGGTGGACTCGGGCCGGTTCGGGCCCGGCCGGGCCTTGGTTCATGAAAGGGGAGGCCCGGAACCGGCCCGGGTAATCCCCGGGTCCGGGCTGGGCCAGGCCTCGGTTCAATTTATTTTTTTTGGCTTTTCCTAATTAATCCCCAACCCTCCCCCTCACCCCCAAACAGCCCCAAACCACCTCAAATGGCCCAAAATACCTAGTCCAACCCAAAAACTTAAAAAAAAATTCTAAAAAAAAGAAAAATAAATAAATTGGCCCGAACCGGGCCCGAACCGGCCGGGCCGGTTCACCTTTTGAGGGGCCCGAGCCCGGCCCAGAACCCCAGCGGGTCGGGCCTACCCGGACCGGTCCCCGGCCGGGCCGGCGGTTCGGGCCGGTTCAAACAGTGACCGTGCCGGGCCGCCCGGCCCGAGTCCACCCCTACTTTTCAGATTTTCTCAGACAATTAGTCAATTAGCATGGTACCTGATAATTGTAACAGGAGTTGATATTACAAAATATACACAGTAGCATTTGTTGTACATAAACTCTTAACCGTATACTTGGAGTCGTTATGTTTTGAATGGTTCTTGAATCTTGATCAGTTAACTATGTTAAACATCATGTTTGTTTAACCTCTTTTACAATATTTAAAAAGAAAGATCTTTTGATCGACTAAAACATAAAATCAGGCAGTTATGTTTTTTGTTTTTGTTTTTTGCAAGAAGGAAACTTATCATTAAGCAAATCGTTGGCCAAAACCGATACAATGAAAGGAGGATAATATATACAAGAACACAAATCAAACAAAGAACAAGCAACTCGTGCTATAGCATGAGCTATCTTGTTCGCTGATCGCAACACATGACAAATTGAAATGCTGAATTTTTTTGCCAAATCTTTGATGTCGTTACTGACCAAACCAATCGAAGAACAACTAGACCCATGTAGAATCTCTGTGATAGCACGGAATGAGTCAGTCTCTACCTCAATATGTGTCCATCCTCTCTCTTTAACCCAGCTAAGCGCTTCCCGAATCCCAATCATTTCTGCTCCTAAAGGCGATAATTTTCCAGGCCAAGAACGGGTTGCTGTTGCCACAAAGTTGCCTCTATCGTCCCGCAAGCACCAACCTAAACGGCAGCCATTCACCCGGACTGCTGCGTCGATATTAAGCTTCAACATTCCTTAGAGCTGGCTTCCTTCACTTCATGCACTTCTGCAAATTCTGCTGGGGCTTGCTGCTACGTGATGCTTGGGCATTGTTCCAAACATCCACCAGGGCCTATGCCCGTAAAATGAGCTGCCTAGCAGATGATGACTTTCCTTGCCAGTTGCCCCACATGGGAATTCCTCTCGCACCAGAGAGCCCAACACCCCAAAACTAGCATTTCTAACACTTCCTATCTCCTAGACCGAAATTCCATGTTAATCTGCTCCAGAAAGGGAAGGTCCTCTCCATCAGTCCACATCCAGGATATAATTCTCCAAGCTTCATGAGCTACTGCACACTGCCGAAAGAGGTGGACTGATTCTGAATTATCGCCACACATGCCACACGATCTCGGACAGTCGACCTGAGGAGCCTGCAAATTGTCCCTCGAGGGGAGACTCCCAGTGCAAATCTGCCAAAAAAACATTTTGATTTTAGGTGGAAGTCTCAAATTCCACATAGCAGTCCACTCCGAACTTTCCGAGCCTCCCAGTTCACCCACCAACCTTCTACCATCTCCAACACAAAGCATATGGAATTGGACTCTTACTAAGTGACACACCCCGACATTATTAAGGATGCATCTCTAGCCCCAAAAATATCATTAATAATATCATGATCCCACGCCCTTTGATCATTAGCAAATAGATTAGCCACCACGGCCTCTTGTAAACCCTCTTTAACCTCCGACATCACCTTCGGATTTGCTTCAAGTGTGATAGACAAAGGAAAGGCGTTCTTTGCGGCGGATCCCAGAAGTTGGTTAGAAGTTGCAAACTAAGTGGTCGGCTATACAATGGCCGTGAATTGTGTTCTCATCAACCGCTGCGCCATTATGTCAGTCAAGAGTTGTCGCTTAAATGTGAGTCTTTTATTTCCTCATAAGTTGTGAATTGATTAAGAGATCTCATTTTAGAGGAATCTACCTATAAATCTATCACATCTTCAGATTTATTCCAAACTTAGTTGATCACAAAGCAATCACTAATCCATGAGTTTAGTGATATCTCAATTACCAGTTTTTGAGTGAGTTTTTTTTTTTTTGCTGTTTAGTGATATCCTATGTTGCACCGATACTTCACCTCGATGCCGTATCCGCGCAGGGGCGGACCTATACTTGTTCCAAAGTGTTCATGTGAACACTCAAAAATTTTAACTAGTAGTGTAAAAATACATGTATATGAGTGTTAGTATTGAAATTTATATATGTATATGAACACTCAAAATTTATAAAATAAATTTGAACCGTCAAAATTAATGTCGAAGATCCGCCACTGTATCCGCGTATCCGATACGTATCCGTATCCGATACTCACCAATACGCGTCCTGTACGTATTGGGTCCGTATCCGTAATTTAATAAAAGTATCGGGCTTAATTTTAAAAACACTGATACTTCCGATACCCGTATCCGTGAACCGATACGCGTATCTGACCCTATAACCCCTCATTTGATACACGACATGACGAAAATTTAGTAGCCGCCCAAGTGACCACAACATGTGGAACATTGATAAAGATGGTTTCGGGAGTATGGAAAATAATGAAATACTATAATTTGTCATTTCATTGCTTGATGAGCTTTAGTTGAAACAAGACATAGATGTAAATGCAAATAGAGAACAAAAAATGTTATTTGAATTTAAATCAAAATATTAGTACTTTTGTTTTTTACTCCCTACGTAACATATATATGTTCCCATTTGAAAAGTAGGTAGATTAAGAATAGTGAAAGATGATATAAATTATTGAGGGTATGATGGGAAGATAGTGAAATAATCTGATGGAATGAAGGATAAATACAAAAAAAGTAGGTGTAATAGTGTATTATTATTAAAATTATTGAGGGTATGATGGGAAGATTTAGAAATGGGAAGATATGAATGTTACATCCAAAAAGGGAAAGTGGGAAGATATGAATGTTACGGAGGGAGTAGTTTTTTTAGACTAAGCTTTGAAATTTTATTGTAAAAGTTATTTTTTTGTACTATTATTATTTTATTTATGAACCCCTGAATTATATATATTTGCAAATTATACCCTATATTTTTATTATTTATAAATATACCCTCGTACCCGTATCCTATAATTTTTGAAATTGCCGTATCGCCGTACCCGTATTCGCGTATCCGCGTATCGCCATATCCGTATCCGTGCAACATTCACAAAAAACATTCACGCCTTCCTATTCGGAATAAATATGACAAAATGCAATTATAAGCTCAATGAAGAAAGTTTCATGCACGTGATACTTGACCAGATCAGAAACTTCCAATAATAATGATAACATCGCAATAAATAAATGTTTGAGATATTTACACTGATCGGTATTTTTGAAAGGGAGATATTTACACTGATACTCTAATACATTGTAAATGTCTCACACTCACATATTTCCATATGTGAGACATTTACAATACATTGTAAATGTCTCACACTCACATATTTCCATATGTGAGACATTTACAATGTATTATGTGAGACATTTAGAATGTATTAATGTATCGGTGTATGTATAAGCATAATACTACTCTACAAGATTTTGACGTCCAAGATCCACATTAACGGTAAAAACCGCTATGCAATAGGTTAATAGTAACTGTATTCCATAATTATCGAATTATGCAAAGCATCGTGTCATGTACGTATATCATATACTACGCATACCCAGTGGCGAAACCAGGACCTGTGACTCGCAGGGGCACAATGGCAAAGAAATCATATACAACGTTCAATAAATCAACAAATCCACAATTATAAATTTACAATATAATTAATATTTTTAATGAGATTATCATAATATAATTGCCAAAAAATGCATCAACAAATCAAAATTACCATCTAGTACTCTAGTTGGTCAATCTTAAGTTACAAGTTACAAACGAAGCATAAACCATTCACCAAACATCATTCAATCATTCTTCAAAAATAAAAATATTAAATATACCCAAAAGATAGGAAGACCGTGGTCACTAGTCAGTCGCCGTCGGCCGTCGCTGAGATGCTCACAGTTGCCGTCGGCCGTCGTTGAGGTGCTCGCAGTCACCGTCGGCCTTCGCTGAGTTGCTCGGAGTTGCTGGCTTGCTGTTGCTGCAGACTGATGTGAGTTTGGAAAGCTGTAGGGGTGAGAAAAACCGGACCGAAACCCGGAAACTGACCCTGGACCGACCCGAATTATGATCCCGGTCCGGGTTTTTTCTTTTTAACCGGCCCGAATTAAAAAAACGGACCGAACCGAAAATTCCGGGCTCACTAGTGGGCCTTAAAATCTATAACCCGACCCGGACCGAAAAAAACCCGAAACAATTAGTTTTAATATAAAATTAATATAGTATATGGATATAAATAAAATATTTCCTAATATATGATTATAATCACGATGGATAAAAAAGATTTAGTAACTTTTAGTGACTACAAATATGTTGAATTTGTTTAGCGTAATGATGACCATTAGAATATATTTATAGCAACTCTAGTAACTTTTTGATTCATAAAATTTATTTCGTAATATTTTTAAGAAACCTATATTATTTATATATATACATCTTACATAAAATATTAAGATAATTATCTTCTTTAAATTTGAATTGTTGGTGATTTTGGAGACTAATATTTGTGTTATTATTTGCGGTTTGTATTTTTGATTAATTTTATTTGAAAATAAGTGTTAAAATATAAAAGAACAATGACATATTTCACGTCTGGGCTTTAACCGGTCCAACCCGAACCCGGACCGAACCCGGGCTATCAAAAACCCGACTCAGACTGAATAAAATGGGCTTTGTTCCGGTCCCTAATTTTCATAACCCGAGACCTTGCGGGTAATTTCCGGGTTTAGCAAAAACCCGACCCAGACCGGACCGATCCCACCCCTAGAAAGCTAGGCTTGAGTTGAGCTGTTGAGCCTTAATGGATTGGGCTGCTGGGCAAGAGGCAATTGGGATTGGGATGCAGGGCTCCAATTAATAGAAATTAATATATGTATATATATTTAAAGAAGATAATTCACTGCAGGGGCATGGGCACCTCTAGGCTCTATGGTAGTTCCGCCCCTGCGCATACCAAGTTTTTCATACTAATACTCCGTAATAAATATAAATTTTGGGTCAGTACTACCATCCTATCAAAATTAAAAACCATAGAGTCAGAATCTATTTAGTAATCAGAACCACACCGGGTAAACTACAATTGTGGGTATGTGCAATGGCGGACCCAGGAAATTCATGTTGGGGGGTTCAAAATAATTTTTGAGGGTGAAAATTATTTTTTGAGGGGGCGAAAATTATTTTATATATATATATATATATATATACACTAAAAATAAATTTTGTTGGAGGGGCGGTAAACCTCTGGGTCTGTACTACGGTCCGCCTCTGGGTATGTGTATGCATATATTTGGACTCAAATATATATTTTTTTGTATTTTTTTTGTATTTTTTTTCCTCCTAAATATTTTCAATGACGGAGGTAGACTAAAATTACAAAAAAAAAAATAATAATAATAAACAAAATATGATTTGTATGGAGATCTTCCATAATTTTACGTGCATACTAATTAAATTTCTAATTATTATAACTCTATCCGTTCGATACAATTCGAGATTCTCCAATAGTTTTACAAGTTCTTCTTTAATTTTAGAAGCCTAATATATCATTCAATTTTAGAAGGCAATATATCATTCAATTTTGCATCATCATTTTTAATTATCACGTAATTATTCAAAAAAATATTATTTAAATTAAAATAAAAATAATAATGAAAAGTGTAATGATAATGAAAAAAGAATATTATTCTTTACAATATCATTATTTAAAAATTGTAATAAAAATATCACTCTTAAAATAATTTTTGAAAAAACAGTAACCAGTTAATAAAAGAATTTTGGCTAAAGGTAGGCCCCTGTACGTGTTCGTATTGCTCAATTCACTCCCTGAACTAAAAAAACTCCAATTGACACCCTAACTGGATATAAAAAATTTCAATTTTGACAATTTGTAGGTAACCATCCAGTCAGCGCGACGTCATCAGGTCATGTGCCAATTGTGCACCTGAGGTGGCAACTCAAGGGGTCAAATAAGCCCCTAAACCCAACCAAATTGTTTAATTCACCCCCTCAACCATTAAAAAGTGTCAAAATTCTGAAAAATAAAAATAAAAAATAGTAAAAATTATGAATATAAAATACGACTAAAAAATGTTTATATATTGCGGTAAATTCATAGAAGAAAATACAGTATAAAGTTAAAGAAATTCTTTAACTCTATTATATATTTTATATAAGAGAATAAACAATATATTTCCACCAATTAACTATATTTAAGAATGTATTTTATGTAATACACCTAAGATTTGTTTTTTTGGTTTTTGGTTTGATGATTAATATTATGTTTATGTTTTCCATTTTATTTATTCATTTTGTATATTTAATTTATTTACAAAATATATTAAAATATATTAGTTGGTATAATTAGATATTAAAATTATTTTATTTAGATGCAAATTTTTTTTTCGAAGTATACTAATTTGAGTAGCTATTTTATATATATTTATATAAGTAAAAATGACATATAGAAGATTAAATTCTATACTTTTTACAAATTATTTAGACCATAAAACTTTATACAGTACTATATCAGAAGTAAAGTATAAAATTATTAATCACATACTTTAATCATTTATTTAATATATATATATATAGATATTTAATTATAGTAGTTTTTTACATATTAAATATATTACATAGGAATCACGTGTACATTATGTTGTATAAAGTAAGGTAATACATATATGTGTGTATGTGTTTGCACATATGACTTTCACATTTTTTATATAAAATATAAATAAAATATTTAGAAATAAAGGTAAAGAAATTATTTTAGTTTATATTTTATTTTTATTTTGCAATAAATGAAAAATACAAATATTTCATTTTTATACTCCGTACTTAATATTTTCGAACAACATATTATTTTTTTGTATTTTTTTTTTATTTTTCTATTTTTCATAATTTTGACACTTTTTAACGGTTGAGGGGGTGATTTGAATAATTCGGTTGGGTTCAGGGGCTTATGACCTGATGATGTGGCGCTAACCGGATGGTTACCTCCAAATTGTTAAACCGGAGTTATTTAAACTGGGAACATCACATTTAATATAGTTACCACGTTGCAACATCACATTATTTACGGTTTTCCCAAATTTAAATAATTCAATAGCTACATTCTCATTGGTGCATGTGGACAAATGTATGGTACCTTATGGGTACCATAGAATCTACCTATATTTAAACCGGAATTACCTGGTAACCCGTCTTGGCCCGGGAGGCCGGGACTGACCGTGCCGGCCCAACTTGGGAAACCCGTAATGGCCCGTATGTTTAGGAAGAAGTTATCATCAAAATACAACCAGACGACCGTGGATCTTTCTTGGGGAATAAGTTCGTACTTCCTACTAGTACCATATATATACACGTATCTTCAATTTAAAGAGCGTAGAGAATTGAAGCAGACCCCTCTATATATTCCAGAAGTGAATACAACACCAGCGATTATATATATTCTTGGCAGCCATGGGAGCCGGAGAGAGCATTCCAGGGCCGCGCCGATCGGACATATACAGTGCGAGAGGCGCCGTTGAAGTGGCGCTGAAGAGGGTAGATCTGAACTCTCTAAATGGGTTTGGCTTCAGCAAAGATAAGAGGATGGAGCTTGCGATGGAGCTGACGTGGATGAAAACCTTCCTCATCACCAGCGAAAAAACGGGCCACGGCCGGAAGGTTGCCGACGTCTGGTGTCCGGCCATCGAACTCCTCGCCGGAAACTGTGATGATAGCTTTCTGAAAACCACCCAACGCTTAGATGCTGCGTGCAAAAAACTTGCCAGCCTTAGACAGAAAATACAGCCTTTTGTTGTTCCCACCTGTCCGTGTGATCATCCTCCTCCCCCCTCAAAGCCTGTTATTGTTAAAAGCTGTCACTGTCACTGTGATCATCCTTCCCGCTCAAAGCGCTAATCGTAGTCCCCAGTTTTTTGATTTTACACAGGCGTTTAATCAGGGACGATTCTCATCCCCTGTTTCTAGATCTTACTATACATAGGGGTTTAATTAGGGCCGATTCTATATGTAAGTTCATTTAATTGGTAATTTGGATTTGATGTTCTTGCTTTATTCACAAGATCAAATATAATAAAATACCTTCCTTCTTAAATAAGTCTTAAATTTTACGCTATTCACATGTTCTACTTTGATTACGTTTTATTTATTAATGTATTAATAGATTAATAGATTTTTTTGAAAAAATACTGTTAAATTTTCTCATAACAAATTTTCAAAATCTGTTTTTTTTTAATTTTTGTACTAATTTTCTGAAATTAAGGTTTTATTACGAGGGAAGATTATTTTACAATATTTTTAATTGGAATAAATTTTGTTGGTCTGGTCCGATTTGTTCTAATTTTTTTGTATACTTTATAACTATAAAAATTTGATTTGATTTGTTTAAACGTGATTTAGTTTGCTCTTACCGGGAACTAAAGTTTGCTCTTATGTGGAACTAAAAACATCCGCGCCGTTTATCTGATTAAAATACAGTCGGATTTTTATGTACTATCGTATTACGGAGTATGCAATAGAAAACGCATCCACGTTATTTGACGGTTTTATCGAGGCTGTTTAGTCACTTTTACAAACCACGTCACATAATTTAATTAATTTAGTGAATTGCATTATGGCAGTGTTTTCTTAATATTAAATCCTGTTATGTAGTCTATATTATTGGATGAGACTAATTTGTTGGCAGTCATATTAGGGGTGTTTTCTCTTGGATTATTTTTAATCTCAGACCAGATTCAACCAGACCAGATCAGAATAAACCTTCGTTGTTACCAAATACACAGAGACCAGACGTTTATCAGATCAGACCAGGCCAGATCAAATCAGACCAGACCCGCAAATTTTAATCCAAAAGAAAACATCCAAACAAAAAATTGATTTGTATCAATTGTAATTAGATACTGCGGGTGTTTTGACAAATTGATTATGTGCAATTTTTTTAAGGGAAAACTGTCAAATAGGTCCATGTACTATATACAAAAAGTCAATTAGGTCCCTGTACTAAAAAATCATCCAATCAAGGACCTCAACTTTATAAAAACACCCACATCAGGCTTTTATCCGGTAAACAACCGGTTACCGAGTTATTTTGCATATGTGGTGATCCACGTGGCCAAGTTTAGTTTCTTTTCATCTTCTTTTCCTTTCTTCTTTGTTTTTCTTTCCTTCTTAGATTAGCACCGACCTTTCCTCCCACATCTCATGTTTCGTCTAGTCCAAATCCCCCCCCCCCCCTTTCCCTTCTCCCTGTTTTCTTCTTTGTTCTTCTTCATTCTTGTCACGTATTTGTTCATTCCCTGTCAATATTTATAGCCGGTGGAGGTGGATAGTATACAGAATGCTTTGCCCTCTTCTTCTTGTGGAAGTGTGGAACACTTCTCGAAGGAGTTTCTCCCGACTTAAGCAGATCTTCCTCATCAATTGGTCGACGAATTCAACTTCATCCCTACTCCCTCAAGATACAGCAAACGGCATCCTTATACCTTTGCCTTACGACGCATGAAGAGTTCAACAACAAACTCCGGCAAAGTTCTTGATTCATATAATCATATGTCACCGGTCATTTTTGTTTAATTCAACATTATATTCTGTTCGTCAGCTCCCCTTTCTCTCAATAGTTTTCTGTTCATGAAACCCCCATTTCTCTATATTTTTTCTTTCAGCAATCCCTAATTTGTGCAGATTTAGGTCAGTTTTCTTTTTAATTTTATGCACCAACAATATTGGTTTGAATAAACAATCCTTGCCGGCAAGTTTGATGTATAATAAACAATATGGAAGAACAAACGAATGAGAAAATTTTAAAAGAAAAACATAGAAAAAACGGGAGAAGCAAAAAGATGTAGTAGCAAGCTTAAGAGCATTAGGAATTCTCGAAGAAGAAAGGCTGAAAGGGTAAGAGACAGGGAGAAAGAAAAAAGGAAAGGATCCGAGTATAATTAGCCACGTGGTGACCTTTCTGACCTATGTGGGTGCATCAACCGGCTGACCGGGTGTTTACTGAATAAAAGTCTAATTTGAATGTTTTTCAAAGGTTGGGGGACCTGATTGAACGGTTCTTTAGTATGAGGACTTAATTGACTTTTTCGCTATAGTACAAGAACTTATTTGACAGTTTTCCCTTTTTTTAATTACGTTTGGTAACCATGATTTTTGGCTTTTCAGCCTTAGCACCCAACTTTTTCACCAAACATGTAACTTTTGGGTACACACGTTGAATTATGTAATAATAAGAAAATGTAAGGTTAGAGTTACTTTTCTGGCTGTATTGGTTGAAGTTACTGTAGATGATCATTTTAGCTATATTTTCATATAATATTCTTTATTTCATTAATAAAATATATCCCCCCCACAAATTAGCAGAATCAGCCAAACTGCAACTTCAACCGAAACTTCATAAATTTCAGCAGAATCACCCGATACAACCGATTTGGGTGTTATCAAACAGACCCATAATAAGATCAGAATTCAGACAAGGTACATCAAGATAAAAAGTCAGATTCCGATCACAGCCCTTCGAACCAAACTTAGGGTTAATCACCTTCCAGAAAGCAATATAACTCGCTGATGTTATAATGAGTAGGGCTGGACAAAAATACCGAAATATCGGTATACCGCACTTACCGTACCGAAATATACCGGAAAATACCGGAATATTGGTATACCGTCATTTTCGGTACGGTATCATACCGTACCGATTTATTTTGGTACGGTAACGGTAAATGTTTTCAAATACCGCGGTATACCGGTATAATACCGTACCGACTCCCTACCCAATAATTACTTTTAATTCTAAAATATTGTAAAAATTCATTACAATTTTGAAGTCCAAAATTAATACTTAAGTTGGTTACAAATACCAAAATACAAAAATAAAAGTGCAATTTCCTAAACTCACTATAACGTTTTAGGTTTCTACTACATAACATTCAAACAAACTGATGACTAATAAGTAATATACTAATGTCTAGACACACAACTGTGTCTGAAAGTCTTATCAAATATCTTTTTTAAAAACTATAAAAATGACTAAATGCATAATACCATATTAGGAATAAATGATTTCGTTTATATCCATGTTGTTTGAATAATTTTATTTATTTTTGCTAGAGATCACTATTGATTTAATTATATCTATATTGTTCAAGTTATTTTACCAGAGAATGTGTTATTTATTAATACGTGACATACTGGCATGTTAAACTACTTAAATATACTAATGATAATTATTGCTCAATATTGAATTGACATCAATAAATTATTAATTGTATTTTGTAACATTTTAATATTAGATTAAATATGTCGCTAGTAACAACGATTTAATGTATTTCATTAGTCTATGATAATTTATTATATTGGGAGACATTCATGATAATTTACCGATACCGTACCGTTACCGGATCGAAACTTCGGTATACCGAAACTTCGGTATGGTAACGGTATATAAATTTTGTATACCGAAAGTTTCGGTATGGCAAAGGTATGATAGAAAATATTCGGTATACCGTACCGAACCACCCCTAATAATGAGTATAATTGAGCCAACTGTAATTGAAAAGGGACTCCTCGTCACCAACTTTCATCCTCAAAGTTCTCATAGAAACAGAAAAAATAACAGCAAGCCACAGTCCGAATCAAAATATATAACAAAGTAGAAATAACTGAAATTAATACCCATGACTCGCCTCCTCTCCGTTTTGTGGATCATTCGGCACCACTCCTCCCGCTTGATCTTCTCCCATCTGTTCTACCCATGCGTCACTGCCTACCTCATCGAGAACCAACTTTTCTTCTTCATTCTCCGATATCAGCTTATCATCTTGCTTCTCCAAATTTGCCATTGTAAACTTCTCCAAATTTTATCCCATGTAGCTTACGGCTATACCAACAATAGGAGAAATTTCAACCTTCCAACCGTGAGATGCAAAAGAATCTGCCCGACTGCCCCAAAGGTCACATGGAAGACCCCGACGCATAGTTCACTTATGCCTCCTGCCCAATTTGTTGAACCACCGTCTAATTATAAGCATCCTACAACCCACCCCAACCCTAGACTAGTGCGAGCCGCAAATTATACCGTGGTACGGGTATACCATACACATGGTATACCGGTACCACATACGTCACCGTTTTTCCTTCTTTGGAGTCTGGAGCACTACGTTTCTTTCCTTTCTTTTCCTTCAAGACTCAAGCCCTCTAGATTTTTTTGGAGCACTATCTCTTTATTTTTCAATTTTGTTTTCTTCAATTATTTCCTTCTCTCTATCTACATATTAAAAACTAATTATGATTTTTCTTGTATTCATCTTTAACTAATTAAACGATAAGTGAATTAACTTTTTTCTTTACCAATTTATTACAAAATTTTCCTAATCCACATAAAATAAGCACTACAAATTTATTTTTGGTGTAATATTTTTTACATTTATACACTTTTTTGTAAAATATTTTTCATATTCATACACTTTTTAAAAGAATTATTTTTTTAAATCTATTTTATACTATCTCCGTCGCAAAAAGAGTTGCAAATTTGACTTTTCTTAGTCAAACAGTCTCATTTGGTTCACTTAATTAGGATGTCAATTTTTAATTATTTTCTAATTTGGAGTTTACAACTTTGAAGAGATTTTAATGTAGTTTTTGAATATGTAAATTTTATTTATTAAAAATTGAATTAATTATCCATAGGGAGGGTTGACTTTTATTATTGGTTCACTACTCCCCAAGTCGGCTAGTCCCCTGCGGCGACCTGCTCGTTTTCCCAAAAGCGCCATTAAGAATTTCGATTTGACGCCATCGCAGTCGATGACAAAGGAGACATCTCAATCGCCGACTCGATCTCGTTCGTAAAACAAATTCCAAGGACAGAAAAAAATTATATGAATCTGCTGAAGAAATGATTCTACAAATGAATATTATGGTCATTAATATTATTTGTAAGAAACCATT